GTCCGACATGACCCCATAAACTGTCTTCTACAACGGTCCGACATGACCCCATAAACTGTCTTCTACAACGGTCCGACATGACCCCATAAACTGTCTTCTACAACGGTCCGACATGACCCCATAAACTGTCTTCTACAACGGTCCGACATGACCCCATAAACTGTCTTCTACAACGGTCCGACATGACCCCATAAACTGTCTTCTACAACGGTCCGACATGACCCCATAAACTGTCTTCTACAACGGTCCGACATGACCCCATAAACTGTCTTCTACAACGGTCCGACATGACCCCATAAACTGTCTTCTACAACGGTCCGACATGACCCCATAAACTGTCTTCTACAACGGTCCGACATGACCCCATAAACTGTCTTCTACAACGGTCCGACATGACCCCATAAACTGTCTTCTACAACGGTCCGACATGACCCCATAAACTGTCTTCTACAACGGTCCGACATGACCCCATAAACTGTCTTCTACAACGGTCCGACATGACCCCATAAACTGTCTTCTACAACGGTCCGACATGACCCCATAAACTGTCTTCTACAACGGTCCGACATGACCCCATAAACTGTCTTCTACAACGGTCCGACATGACCCCATAAACTGTCTTCTACAACGGTCCGACATGACCCCATAAACTGTCTTCTACAACGGTCCGACATGACCCCATAAACTGTCTTCTACAACGGTCCGACATGACCCCATAAACTGTCTTCTACAACGGTCCGACATGACCCCATAAACTGTCTTCTACAACGGTCCGACATGACCCCATAAACTGTCTTCTACAACGGTCCGACATGACCCCATAAACTGTCTTCTACAACGGTCCGACATGACCCCATAAACTGTCTTCTACAACGGTCCGACATGACCCCATAAACTGTCTTCTACAACGGTCCGACATGACCCCATAAACTGTCTTCTACAACGGTCCGACATGACCCCATAAACTGTCTTCTACAACGGTCCGACATGACCCCATAAACTGTCTTCTACAACGGTCCGACATGACCCCATAAACTGTCTTCTACAACGGTCCGACATGACCCCATAAACTGTCTTCTACAACGGTCCGACATGACCCCATAAACTGTCTTCTACAACGGTCCGACATGACCCCATAAACTGTCTTCTACAACGGTCCGACATGACCCCATAAACTGTCTTCTACAACGGTCCGACATGACCCCATAAACTGTCTTCTACAACGGTCCGACATGACCCCATAAACTGTCTTCTACAACGGTCCGACATGACCCCATAAACTGTCTTCTACAACGGTCCGACATGACCCCATAAACTGTCTTCTACAACGGTCCGACATGACCCCATAAACTGTCTTCTACAACGGTCCGACATGACCCCATAAACTGTCTTCTACAACGGTCCGACATGACCCCATAAACTGTCTTCTACAACGGTCCGACATGACCCCATAAACTGTCTTCTACAACGGTCCGACATGACCCCATAAACTGTCTTCTACAACGGTCCGACATGACCCCATAAACTGTCTTCTACAACGGTCCGACATGACCCCATAAACTGTCTTCTACAACGGTCCGACATGACCCCATAAACTGTCTTCTACAACGGTCCGACATGACCCCATAAACTGTCTTCTACAACGGTCCGACATGACCCCATAAACTGTCTTCTACAACGGTCCGACATGACCCCATAAACTGTCTTCTACAACGGTCCGACATGACCCCATAAACTGTCTTCTACAACGGTCCGACATGACCCCATAAACTGTCTTCTACAACGGTCCGACATGACCCCATAAACTGTCTTCTACAACGGTCCGACATGACCCCATAAACTGTCTTCTACAACGGTCCGACATGACCCCATAAACTGTCTTCTACAACGGTCCGACATGACCCCATAAACTGTCTTCTACAACGGTCCGACATGACCCCATAAACTGTCTTCTACAACGGTCCGACATGACCCCATAAACTGTCTTCTACAACGGTCCGACATGACCCCATAAACTGTCTTCTACAACGGTCCGACATGACCCCATAAACTGTCTTCTACAACGGTCCGACATGACCCCATAAACTGTCTTCTACAACGGTCCGACATGACCCCATAAACTGTCTTCTACAACGGTCCGACATGACCCCATAAACTGTCTTCTACAACGGTCCGACATGACCCCATAAACTGTCTTCTACAACGGTCCGACATGACCCCATAAACTGTCTTCTACAACGGTCCGACATGACCCCATAAACTGTCTTCTACAACGGTCCGACATGACCCCATAAACTGTCTTCTACAACGGTCCGACATGACCCCATAAACTGTCTTCTACAACGGTCCGACATGACCCCATAAACTGTCTTCTACAACGGTCCGACATGACCCCATAAACTGTCTTCTACAACGGTCCGACATGACCCCATAAACTGTCTTCTACAACGGTCCGACATGACCCCATAAACTGTCTTCTACAACGGTCCGACATGACCCCATAAACTGTCTTCTACAACGGTCCGACATGACCCCATAAACTGTCTTCTACAACGGTCCGACATGACCCCATAAACTGTCTTCTACAACGGTCCGACATGACCCCATAAACTGTCTTCTACAACGGTCCGACATGACCCCATAAACTGTCTTCTACAACGGTCCGACATGACCCCATAAACTGTCTTCTACAACGGTCCGACATGACCCCATAAACTGTCTTCTACAACGGTCCGACATGACCCCATAAACTGTCTTCTACAACGGTCCGACATGACCCCATAAACTGTCTTCTACAACGGTCCGACATGACCCCATAAACTGTCTTCTACAACGGTCCGACATGACCCCATAAACTGTCTTCTACAACGGTCCGACATGACCCCATAAACTGTCTTCTACAACGGTCCGACATGACCCCATAAACTGTCTTCTACAACGGTCCGACATGACCCCATAAACTGTCTTCTACAACGGTCCGACATGACCCCATAAACTGTCTTCTACAACGGTCCGACATGACCCCATAAACTGTCTTCTACAACGGTCCGACATGACCCCATAAACTGTCTTCTACAACGGTCCGACATGACCCCATAAACTGTCTTCTACAACGGTCCGACATGACCCCATAAACTGTCTTCTACAACGGTCCGACATGACCCCATAAACTGTCTTCTACAACGGTCCGACATGACCCCATAAACTGTCTTCTACAACGGTCCGACATGACCCCATAAACTGTCTTCTACAACGGTCCGACATGACCCCATAAACTGTCTTCTACAACGGTCCGACATGACCCCATAAACTGTCTTCTACAACGGTCCGACATGACCCCATAAACTGTCTTCTACAACGGTCCGACATGACCCCATAAACTGTCTTCTACAACGGTCCGACATGACCCCATAAACTGTCTTCTACAACGGTCCGACATGACCCCATAAACTGTCTTCTACAACGGTCCGACATGACCCCATAAACTGTCTTCTACAACGGTCCGACATGACCCCATAAACTGTCTTCTACAACGGTCCGACATGACCCCATAAACTGTCTTCTACAACGGTCCGACATGACCCCATAAACTGTCTTCTACAACGGTCCGACATGACCCCATAAACTGTCTTCTACAACGGTCCGACATGACCCCATAAACTGTCTTCTACAACGGTCCGACATGACCCCATAAACTGTCTTCTACAACGGTCCGACATGACCCCATAAACTGTCTTCTACAACGGTCCGACATGACCCCATAAACTGTCTTCTACAACGGTCCGACATGACCCCATAAACTGTCTTCTACAACGGTCCGACATGACCCCATAAACTGTCTTCTACAACGGTCCGACATGACCCCATAAACTGTCTTCTACAACGGTCCGACATGACCCCATAAACTGTCTTCTACAACGGTCCGACATGACCCCATAAACTGTCTTCTACAACGGTCCGACATGACCCCATAAACTGTCTTCTACAACGGTCCGACATGACCCCATAAACTGTCTTCTACAACGGTCCGACATGACCCCATAAACTGTCTTCTACAACGGTCCGACATGACCCCATAAACTGTCTTCTACAACGGTCCGACATGACCCCATAAACTGTCTTCTACAACGGTCCGACATGACCCCATAAACTGTCTTCTACAACGGTCCGACATGACCCCATAAACTGTCTTCTACAACGGTCCGACATGACCCCATAAACTGTCTTCTACAACGGTCCGACATGACCCCATAAACTGTCTTCTACAACGGTCCGACATGACCCCATAAACTGTCTTCTACAACGGTCCGACATGACCCCATAAACTGTCTTCTACAACGGTCCGACATGACCCCATAAACTGTCTTCTACAACGGTCCGACATGACCCCATAAACTGTCTTCTACAACGGTCCGACATGACCCCATAAACTGTCTTCTACAACGGTCCGACATGACCCCATAAACTGTCTTCTACAACGGTCCGACATGACCCCATAAACTGTCTTCTACAACGGTCCGACATGACCCCATAAACTGTCTTCTACAACGGTCCGACATGACCCCATAAACTGTCTTCTACAACGGTCCGACATGACCCCATAAACTGTCTTCTACAACGGTCCGACATGACCCCATAAACTGTCTTCTACAACGGTCCGACATGACCCCATAAACTGTCTTCTACAACGGTCCGACATGACCCCATAAACTGTCTTCTACATCGGTCTGACACCACCATACAGTGTCCTCTACAATGTTATGACCCCACCATCCAGTGTCCTCTACCACGTTATGGCACCACCATACAGTGTCTTCACCAACGGTCTGACACGACCATACCAGTGTCTCCTATCTTTTTTTATTTTTATGTATTTTCTTGTTTTGCTCCTCTCTCCAAACTCAAGTTGGTTAGTTTCTATCCTCCTTGAGTTTGCGGGGGGCTGTTAGAATTTACCACTCACCTACTACCTCCACTATTTTTCTCCACACCTACCACCTCCACTATCACACACTCCACTACCATCTTCTCCTCTATATATAGGAATTGTAATATACAGAATTGATCAATCTTGTAACACAACAATCTTGTAATCAATCAATAATACAGTATTTTTTAACATGGTATCAGAGCAAGGTTAAGAACCTAGTCATTCTGCTTTACCGGCGGGCGGCAACTTCGCCTTGGCCGCCCGCCGGATCTCTACACATACCTTGGTTCCGTTGCCGGGACAGACGCGGTGGCGAAGGCTTTCGTGGTTGTCTTCAGCATCATCTTCAGGTGCAAGATGAGAAGATATAGAGGTGAAGTGCACATCTTCAGCTCCTGTTTTGTGATTGAAAAGATCTGCCAGTGGAACCATCCCAAATCCATAGTAATCATCTATTTGAAAAGAGCGAGAAGCAATAAGACTTTTTGCTGCGAGGTACTGTTCAACACCGAAGAAATCTGGATTAAGCTCTACAGGAGCTGAAGCCAGAAGAGGCTGAATACACTCTTCCCAGTCCTCATAGATGAGAGCCTTGTCTTCTTTAACTATCTGCCTAGGAAACATATATCAGAATGATCAAAGGTATGAAATTATCAAAAATCGAGCTGTCTCTAATCCTATATTACACTAAAAAAAGCTTCAGCTGTAATAGACTATCAAATATGCAAGATAAGCTAACAAATGTCCGAAACAATAAAAAACAATAACTCATTAAGATATTAGTCATAAAATTCAAAGAAACTTCCATCAATTGTGCAGGTCTCAACTTCAGAAGTTAGAATAACAATCTTTCAATATGTCCAATGATTGTTAATTGCAACTAAAATTCAACCACGCGTGTCAAAAAATCACACAGCAGCATGATTGTTTAGATAAACAACAAAAAAAAACATCCCTTTTAAGTTACATTGCCAACATGACCCAATTAACACAAAGAAAAGCCGATACCCAATACTATTTTCCATATTTTAAAGCCAAAAACTATGTTGCAAACATAGTTTTGCAATTATCTATTCTATCATGTAATGTAAAGCACACACCCCATTGGATGTAAACAATGTTACTTTTTTCTTTTTTCTGTCACATTCAATAACCACTGAACAGTTTTCTCATTCATCAAACTACCCAAAAAAGCCATGTAATTTCTGTATAAAGATTCTGTTTGTACAGCATTACCCAACTACTACTAAATGGTTTTACTTCAGTCATGAAATCGCCATTCAATCATCAATCAAACCATTCAAAAATTTAAATACAAAATCACAAACACATTACCGCTACGCTAGTGTAAGTGTAAAGTTTACCTTGTGAAGCTCAGTGCCCAATAACAGAGAATCAACTTCCTCCAAGCTCCAAAGCATTGGAATACACTCATTCTCCGGCAACAACTGAAGATAACCGAACCAAGGGGACTGGTGTCCCAAGCCCTTCTCGTACATGAGGGCCACCGAGAGCCCCAAATAGCCCTCAAGACCGGCTGTCTCGATCAAATTCCGAGCACCTGAGGTCTTGATTGTGAGGCACGAATGCTTGGGTATCGTCGCCACCAAATCGCCTTCGTGCAAATCGCAGAGTGTTCGCACGGAGATTCCTTCTTTGGCGTGGTCTATGAGGTTGAGAGCATCGCTGCAATCTATGTTTTGCGATTTCATCCATCGTTTGAATGCTCTCAATCGCCTGCACAGATGATGTATGTTTATCAACAAATGTATGTATACGTATACGTATATGTATATGTATATGTATAGAAAGAGGTGAACCTGGTGGTGGTGGCGGCGGCGGCGGCGGCGGCGGCGATGGTGGTGGAGGTAGCCATTTGCGGTGGAAGAGGGCCGCCGCCGCCGCAGTGTCGGATGTATCGTATTTTTTAATAGGGGCGACAGAGGGTGTTGGGCCAATGCAGGGCTGATTAGCCCAATGTCTTATCTAAATGGGTTGTGAGCCCATCATCAACTTTTGAGAAATTACAACTACGTCCCCGATCAATAATGATCTAAATAAGTATTCAGTAATGATTTAGACCCCTTCAAACTTCAACCCCACACGCACGTGGCGAGTGGTGATTGAAGGAGAAGAAAAGAAAAAGTGACCAATCAAAAAAGAAAGAGAGTCAAAGGGGTAGGAAAAAAGGGGATCTCAATCTTTATTCATAAGTATTATATTTTTAAATTTTTATTTAAAAAAAGATATGCAAAGTGATAAAAAAGTGATATGATCTAAATAAGATAAAAATATGTTTTAAAGTACATTATGCCAAATGATCCCTCATTCTCACTAAAAAAAAAATGAGATACTTTTTCATAAATCTCTTTTAATCTACATATGTTCTATTTAGTTTATATTATTTTCTTATGTTTCAATAAGTTCTATAGGTGACATATATACCAAAACACTCCTAATAATATTCATATTTATAGTGTGAATGTTCCGTGATGTGAATGTCCACACTATCAATATGAATGTTAGCATGTCAATGTGAATATTCACATTGTAAAATATAGATGTTCACATCATCAAATTGCAACCGTTCAAAAAATATTTGTAACGGTATAAATGTCCATAAAATACCTTAAATATGATAATTAAAATTTGATAGACCAAATGTTTAAATAATATGACTTATTAGAATATAAGAATATCTTATAAACTAATTGAGATACAAATACTTGAAAAAAGATTTTTTAATAAATTTTCCAAAAAAATTCCAATTAATTTCGTTAAAATGTATTTAAGTAATGAACAATATTGGAAATATGGGTTTAATTTTGGATTTATCAACAAGACACCAAATATTTTTGACTTCCTTTGTTATTTTTTTATCTATTTAGTAGTATCTAGATGAATAAATGTGATTTATTTATGTATTTTGTTGAATAGACTAAAATTAAACACTAACTATATTTGGTCTTTAATTTTATTTTATTTTTTTGGAGGGAGTGGGAGGGGAGGGGTTTAAATTAATTAATTGAACAACGGTAGGATGTTGGGCCAGCTATAATCGAACTACTTTAATTTGTTTGGGCAAATTAAGGCTGAATTTGTGAGGGTGCATAAGGTTACGATTGAAATATTAAAGATTGTTATAAGGTTACGATTGAAATATTAAAGATTGTTATAATTTTTTTAAAAAATTTATATTTTATAAAATAATATATTTTTGTGGGTTTTTTATTTTTTTTAATAGAATAAATTATAAACACAATGTTAGAGATTTGTCAAAGATATGATGGATTCTTCCTCTCACGTTTTGAAAATTACAAATATCTCAATGACAAAAAAAATTCTATGATTGATCTAACTGTATGAGTACGAAATATTCATTGCACGTGTACTCCTCGTGATCAAGCTTGTACCTAGGGAGGTAAGAAAAATCGAAAAAATCGACCAAACTGATTAAACATGACCAAACCAGCTATATTTGATCTGTTTTTTAACAAGAATCGGTCTGTGCGGTTTTTAAATTTGAATTTTTTCAATTTTCAATTCGGTATCGATTTAAACACCTTGTGTACCGATCTAAACCGAAACCGACCATTTCAACATCTATTGTATCTATAATATATA